GCCCGGGTGGCGCGGGCGGCGAGAGGAGCAGGAGAGGCTGGAGCGGCTGCCTGGGCAGGAGAGGCGGCCAGCAGCTCTGCGAGCGGGAACAGGCTGGAGGGTCCCAGCTCGGAGACGAATAGCGGGCTAGGGGCGTGAGGGGGAGAGGGGAGGTTAATGAGCAAAGACGAGAGTAATGGTAGCTGCAGTGGAAGAAAAAAGCCGAGGGAAGGAGACCGGCGGCTAGGCAGGCGCAGGATTCATCAGCTTGCAGTTTTGTGGGTCCCGAAGTTGACTTTGTTTCTCCGCGTCCGCGTGCTGGAACAGTAAACATCTTGTCCAGGGTGCCACCCAAGACACTCTGGTCCCCTTCCTCATCACCTTCGCTGTTCACTGGGCTGGGGTTTCTGGCCTCCATCCTTTGTAAGAGGCAGTTCTCTTACCCCAAAAGGACCCACGAACTTCTTCCACGACTCCCATCTCCCCATCCACCCTCCTGGCCGACCTCTTTTAATGTCCCAACGTCACACGCAGAAATCTGTCTTTCCTAGACAGACCAGGTGTCCCGGCTAGAGCGAACCCGGCCGCTAACTTTAGAGGAGTGGAAGCAGAAGACGCCCTGGGTCCGCAGCCACGGCCAGCGGCGATCCCCTTTCGCTCGCCCGCCAGCTGGAGCCCGGGACCCGAGGGTGGCCCTCGGGCAGTCGGCACACCGCGGGGCAGTCGGCACACCGCGGCGGCGGTTTTCCGTGCGGTCTGGGAACCAGCTGGGCTGCAAGCCGCGGGAAATCAGGCAGCACCGCAGAGCCGGCGGCACGTCTTCTTAGCTGGACCCATCACCTTTCTCTTTTCGCGGGATCAAATAGTTTGTTAAAGTGGGCGCAAGCAGTCCGAGTGAGGGATTCTAGCCAACATGTTAACATGCTTTGAAAGAGTGAAAGCGCTGGCGCGCGGGTGCGCGAGGCCAGGAGACCCCAGCGCCTCTGGGCAGCTCCCGCCATCTGTGCGTTCGCCCGCGCCCCAAGTCTTAGGTTAAATGTGATCTGGTGGCCAGTTGGGCGCTGGTCACGACAGGTCGCCAGGGAGGTGTGTGCACACACTCAAAACGCTGGAGGAAGCCTCCTGGGTCTCCCAATTTGGGTTTCACGGTCAACGGTTTTTGACTGGCACCGCTAGGAAACCCAGCTTAGCAGAGATCACCCCGGGCCCAAGGCAAGCACGCGCTGTCTCTTAACCTTTCCGTTTATCAGTGCTCAGCAGTTCTAGGAGCGAGGGTCCCTAATACTGCGTTTCCGTGGTGGCCTGCGAGCCCCTATTCTGGTTGTGGGGATTCTGCCCTGCCACAATTCCTGCGCAACTTTTCGGGAGAGCGAGGAAAGTAGGGAGGACCGAGGCTGGGGCTCCCCGCTTTCCGCCTGGCCCCGGGTGTCCTTGCCTATCACGTTTCGGAGTTAGCATGGGGGTCCTGCGCAGTGGCGCCAGGACACGTAACTCGTAAGGGTCACTTCTAATCCCTGGTTCCAGCTCAGACTCTGACCCAACCGGCGGCGCCACGCGAGGGAAAAATAGGGGCGACCCGACGGGATAGGACACCGGCCACCACCTCGGGTGAACGCTCCCGGCCTGGGTCCGCACCTGGATCACCTGGATCGTTTGGTTTCCACTAACCTCTGGGCAGTGAGAGGCCCTGCAGAGGGTCGCGGGGAGGCTGGACCACTACTGGGTGGTGTCACCGTCGCTACCCGACCCTGGTGGTCAACGCGCCTCCTCTGTGGAGTCCTCTATTCTTAATTTGAATAGAAAAAAGATGAGAAGGGTCCAGGCTTTGGACACAGAAAACGGAGGACACTTGCCCCTCTGTGGTGATGGGTGGACGCCTCGTAACACCTATTTTTCTCTCCTTCCCCGTGTCCGGTGTCCCCGTGTTTCCTCCTGCGCAGCGGGGTCGCCCTGTCCCGGGCCCACTTTGAGAAGCAGCCTCCCTCCAACTTGAGGAAATCCAACTTCTTTCATTTCGTCCTGGCGCTCTACGACAGGCAGGGGCAGCCGGTGGAAATCGAGCGCACAGCATTCGTGGATTTTGTGGAGAACGATAAAGTAAGCGGACCCCTGCCCCAACACGGCCTGATAACTCCCTCCTTGCAAAGCGGTAAAGATTCCTCCATCTGTCACTCAGGACACTTTTCTGTTCACATCATCAGGGATGACAAATTGAGGGTTCTCACCCCCAGCCTCTAAATCAGTCCATCTCTCTGGACCTCCTCTGGTCCCAACTCCCAAGTCCAGTGCTACAGAAGCCACCTGGTCATTAGCAGCGTCTGGCCTTGGGCTGACCGCGGAGCAAAAGCCCTTCTTACTAGAGCAGGGCTAAAAAATCTACTCAAGCCCCCCAACTGCCTTTCTCTGGGTTATTTTAATTATTTTGCACCTGCTGGTGCCGGCAGAGTCCAAACCCTGTTAGGTGAAAAGGCAGAGCTTGGCTTTGGCCCTTTTCTGCAGAGTGCCTTCTCTTCCACTCTGGCTCCCCAAGGCAGGGCCTCCAAACTGAAACCGGTTGGGGGGATTGATTTGATTTCAAATGAAGGACCAACTAAGCTGATGAGTGATGGAAAGGGAGCTTCTTGGCTTCCGGGCCTCAGCTGTACAACGTGAACTTTAGAGCTGCCTCTTCCTAAGGTCTCTTTCGGTCTGTGAGCTTATGTCCCCAGGCGACTGTAGTCCTGGCGGGACAGGGCCAAATACTGCCCTTCCCAATGGATCTCTTCTCTCTCCTGCCAAGAGAAGCCTCAAGGCCGGAGGTTGCCACGGGCAGACCGGGCAGACCGTCCAGACCGAGCTGGATGGGTTGGGTGGGGCCTGTCTAAAGGCAGTCTTGTCCTGTCAGTGGCTGGTTGTGATCAAGACTGGGGCGCACATCTGAGTCCTTTTTTTTTAAGGGGAACAGACAGAAGGCTGGAGAGGGTCAAGTGGCCGGCAGCCTTGGCAAGTTCCCACTGCTAGCAGCGGGCAGACGCTCTTGCTCTTTGACCCAGGACTGGATAGGGATTTGTTCAAAGGTGCCGCTGCCGTCTGATGGGAAGAAAGGATGTGGAGTTGGGGGTCCGTGGTGTGGGGGTGCGCCCCCTCTCCTTCCTCTCAGTGGGGGTGAGGGTCTGGAAAGCATGGGAATCCAACACCGCCTATGTTTTTAGGAACAAGGCAACGAGAAGACCAACAACGGCACCCACTACAAGTTACAGCTCCTCTACAGTAACGGTGAGTGGCCTGTCGCTGGCGGCGGGCGCAGGCACGTTTCCCTTTATGGACCGCAGTTGACTTTGTCCCGATCCCTGCCTGGCAGCCTCCAGAGTGGACGGGGAGAGCAGGGCTGCGGGAGGCTTGGTTGGGGCTGAGACTGGGTCTGCCACCAAGACATCTCCGCCTGGGCTCTTGCAGCCTAAGGAGGGTGCCTGGGCTTCAGCTCCAGGGCTGAGACAGGTGGGGTGCCCATGCCTGGAGCTACAACTTTTGACTGTCCCCTTCCCTCGCAGGCGTCCGCACGGAGCAAGACCTCTATGTCAGGCTCATCGACTCGGTCACTAAGCAGGTGAGCCCAGCCCGCCACTTGGCTTCTCCTTGCCCATCTGCAACCCCCCTGAGCCTCTCTTGATTTGTCTTTGACCTCCTTGCCTCTAACACAATTTCCTGGGTCAGACTTCACACTCCCCTCACATCACCCCTGCACTTGCCCACTCTAGAAAAAATGTCTTTCTTCTCTCTCTCACCAATTGTCCTGTTTCATTCTGGCTTGGGAGACACTGGGGGGTGGGGTGGGGGAGCAAAGAGATGAAGACAGGGACAATTACTGGGAGATTCGTCCCCGAGTAAATTCCTTGCTGCTAAGAACTCTGTCCTTAGGAGGCAAACTTCTGATTCTGTACTGGGGACCTGAGCCACCAGGAAAAGGTGTGACAAACTCTTGCTGAGTAGAAGAAGGGTAGTGAGGGGAAAAATGGTTTCGAGTTGGGTCTAAATCCCCCTTTTTTTTTGTCCCCTCTCCCCTCCACATTTTTCCTTCCTGCCTCCACTTCCTTCACAGCCCATAGCATATGAGGGACAGAATAAGAATCCTGAAATGTGCCGAGTTCTCCTGACCCACGAAGTCATGTGCAGGTAGGAACCGCCTCTTCCGCGGGCTTGGTTGGGGCCAGAAAGCCGCGCCTGCAGCTCACAGGTGTCCCGGGGACTGACTTTGACAAGCGAGGGCGCTGCAGGGAGGCCTGGCCGGTGGACCTGCCGGGGCAGGCCCACTAGAACCTTCCTCTCTTTAAAAGGCAAGTTTCTTAGAGCACATCCGTTAGGTCTCAGAAGAGAAACCCAGAACGATTCAGGATTGCACACCTCTGACTACTCAGGACTTTGGCCACGCGAGAAGTCTCCGCTGTCCCTCGGTGCCACTCAGGGAGGGGGCCAGGTAGGCTCAGATTGGATTTGGGATCGGGAACTTGGCCTGAACCCATCTAGGCTTCTGGAGGTCCAGGACTACTCGGTTCCCACCTGGCTCCGGTTCCTGGTAGATTTCCAGGCGGGACCACTTGTGGAGTTCCTGAGTGGAAACTCTTTAAGGACTGCAAGGCTGGGAGAGAGACCGCCAGAGGGTTGGGCGGCCCACTTCCAGAGCACTCTCCGCGCCTGGATACCTGTCTTCAGGGAGTTTCTTAGGCCTGGAGGAACTCTTGGGTGCAAAGATTAGTCCTGAACCCCATCAGCGGGTGGGAGCAACGGGGAGAAGACCCCATCTGGAAGATCTCGGGTTCAAAACCACAGCGGGATTCTAATGGTCGCATGTGGAGAGGTGCAGTCTAACCCCGTCCACACCTTCCCAGTTTTCTTTCAGAGACCAATCCATCCCATCTTGGGTACAGCTTGCATTGCCCCTTTCTTGTGCTTGGCTAGAAGAAAATAAGAAATTGGAAGAAATTTATTCACACACCTATTCCTTCTTTCAACGCATGTTTACTGAGTGGCTAGTATGTATCGAGTATTGGGAATTTCACCGCAAATGAGAAAGGATATACAAAGGAAACTCCAGGAAGTGCATGCTTATTTTACTAATAACATCGTAATTGTCTATTCCATAGATGTATTTTTTTTTTCTTTTCCTCCTAAATCTCTAGTGGCAGGGAAAGCCTCAGTTCTGCTTTCCTCTGCTAATGCAGTAGTGAGCGTAATCCAGCCCTAAACTTGCTACTTCTGGGTGATTGCAGACCACCTGATCCGGTACCGACTATTAAACGGACAGCTGCCTGAAGCTCTGTCCTTCTCCCCAACCCAGTCAAGAAGCCATAGCCATCAGGCATGTTTCTTTTGGTTTTGACCAAGTATTAGAAAAACAAACTTGCCAAATGCAAAATTCAACTTTGCCAGTGGCCTGAGCTGAGGGGCCTTGATTCTTGTCTGATGAGTAGGGGAGGCAGTGGAAGATGGAGTGAAAAGACAACTACTCTTCTTTCAGGGCCCCTAGAAAGGTTTGTTCAGAAAGAAAACGCAATCACAAGATATATTATTGTACTTGCATGTAATACCTAGATTAGATAGTCAGGATGCCTTGATTTGGCTGGTTAATCTAAGGGAGGTTTTTGTTCCTGTCTACACTTTTAAATGTCTTTGTTTGGATTGATTATCTTCCTAAAAGAAAGACCCAAACCCCAAACTGGCCCATTGTCTAATGAATTATACCTATCACTTTAAATAATACTCGCACGCCTCATCCAGCTGTAGTTAAGGCTGACATTTTTATTTTTAAGCCCAATCAAATCCTCCTCATTTTATGCTGTTTAAGTAGCAGCATCAATTTTTAAAGCCTCTAGTTTAGTCTGCATTAGTAACACAATATAAAAATTTAATGTACTGTAACTTCTCGGCATTGGGGACCTGAGAAGATGCTCTGCTATTTTCTTCCCAAACTAGTATTTAAAACAAATATTAATTATGGTAAATAAATGATCCATTGGACGGGTACTGTCTGCAGTGTGTGTGTGAGTGTGTGTGTGTGTTTTGGGAGATGAGGTGGGTGATGGCAAATACCAAATGCATCTGGGAGGCAAGTTCTTGCTCAATTTGTCGGTCAAAGCTGGTTGATTCTCCAGGAAAAAGGAAAACGTCCTTCTCTCACATTTGAAAAGCTAGTTATAGCAGTCGGTGACTGAAGGACGAACAGAAGCTCTGTTTCTCAGCAATTATTGCACATACTTAGTTTCATCTGCATGGTGTGATTTGGCATATCCGGTACTTCCCCCACTTGGTTTGTGTTACCATCTTTAGTAAAAGGCTCATAAATTGGTATTTAGCTTTGAGAGTGGAACAAAGCGGGGGGGGGGCAAATAAATCTCTTTAGGAATAACTTTTTCTCCCTTTCCCAATTGTCTCTCCCCTTCTCTTCCCTGCTTTAGTTCATTTGGCCAATTATTAGCAAGGAGAAATCTAGTTGTTAGGTTGCTGCCAGCCACCCCGTGCCCTCGATGCTCAGAGGGTTAAAAGATATTATAATTTGAACAGAAGTCGTCTCAAGGCCTACAGCTGGCTAATAACAGAGTTGTATTGAGCGCGAGCAAACCCCACAGCTGTGACTTTTCGCCACAAGGCGCAGGCTAGACACAGCCCTAATCAGATGGGCCAGCCGGGCAGTGGGGCCAGTGTCTTTATCGGCCAGATGGTGTGAATTTAGACACTTTTGTTATGCAATCGCAGGGAGGAGTTGGGGAGAAGAAAACAAAACAAAAGCCACCATGCTGTGCGCTTATTTGAGTTTGAAATTAGAGACAGATTTTTGAAAGTTGAGGGTTGAATTTTAAAAAACGATTTTGGAGGGGAAAGGGACACATTAGCGTGTCTTGAACTGCAGTTTAGCTGACTGGACACCCTCTGTCCAAGGTTGGGGTTTCCCCCCACCTTCTCAGTCTTTGATTCTTTCTCTTTTTCTCTTTCTGAACAATGCAGGTAAGATTCCGAGTCCTGATAAAAATGTTCATATCCTTCCATCTCCTACCCCCCCCTACCCCCAACTTATTTTATTCTTTTTCTTTTTCCCTCTTCAAAGATTCTCTGTGGAGATAGGGAAGATGCAAGAGGCCTGTAAGCAAACTGAGAGTGTTTCAAATAAAAGGTTCTCCAAATAAGTACCAGAATAAAGTAAACTAAAGCAAGTCAGACAGAAACAGGAACAGCTTTCATTTTCATTCATTAGGGAACAGAACACCTCTGAGCCTCTCCGAAGTAGCTAGGAACACAATCTTAACCTATTGCCAACTGCAGTTTCCTCTTCTCTTTGTTTTATTTATTTTTTTTCTTCCTATTTTACAGTCATTTTTAGTTAAAACAAAAAACACTTAGCAGGAACTTCAGGCTTAGAGATTTGCTTGTTGAAAAACAACCCCCAAAGTCTTTTTTTTTTTTTTTTTTTTCCTAAAGTAGCTGAGCAAAGGGAAGAGAGAATTGGATTTTGTTATCTTAGTTAATTCAGGGACCCAGTTTCTGAGTAGTAACTACCTACATTGTTTGGGGAGTGTGAGTTCATAAACATCTTTGGTTCTGCCCTTCTCTTTGCTTATGTTAAGATAGATTACTGGCATGAGGACTGGATTTTATTGGAAAAACTAAATAAAAAATGACTAGTATCCATTAATGAAAACTTTAAAGAAAAGAAAGAATTGCTTTGCTAACTTGCAGACCTAGAGAACTTTTAAGAAGGGGTCAATTGGGGCAGATATAACCAAGTTGATTATTTCTATGCCATATGTATTCTCTCAACAGCCAAGTGAGTGTCTTCTGTATCTTTGGTGTACTGAATATTAACATTAGAGATCATATTTAAAAACTATTGTAAAGTAGAGGATTGGGTCCTAAAGTTTTTGTGCACTTTCTTTTGAATTTTATTTCATCCTGGAGTTGACTTTTTTTTTTTTTTTGGAGAGTTTTTTTTTGCCATAGGGAGAGAAATCACCCCCCAGGGGGAATGGCCACACAGCAATCCCTTCTTCTTCTCCATTCCCCTCTTGGGATCTTGGACACACGCACACACACACACACACACACACACACACATGCTCCCGGCGTGAGTTTAAGCCGCTGGGTCCGGTACTCAAACCGCGGTCAACTACATGGGAGTCCAGCGACATAGCCATTACGCTAACTGCTGGTCCCCCGGAGTTGACTTTTCACAATGCGTTACACTGGGCACCAGGCTTATATTTTTATCTGTTTTTCATTTCCTACAGAGGAAATCCCCATGGAAAGCAGCTGAATTCAGCTGAGCAATTTTGCAAACTTACTCTGCCTCAGAATCATTCCACCTAAACTCCACAGATTGGCACATCCAGATAGCCTGAGCGCTTGCAATTAAATGCACGAAGGTTGGGGTCAGGTTGATGTGCTGGCGATGCAGAAGAAAAATCTAGCTTGAAAGTCTTTAGGTAACTAGCAATTTCAAAAATACATTGCTGAGAAAAATCACTTGCCTGAACTGTAAAGATAGTACAATGACATCAGAAACAACTCTCCAAACAGGAGAGGTAGGCTAGGAAACTAGGTGAAGGTAGAGAAGAGAGACAAGAAGGGCTTTGGGAGATGCAAGAGCAGTTGGCCAGCATTTTTATTGGTGCTAATCTTAGGGTGGATTGAAAATTTAAAAGTTAAAACCTAATTTCAAATACTAAATATTATTTTAGAGAGTCCCAGTGGCTCACTCTGGTATTTAAGAAAACTGAGACTTTTTTTTCTTTTACTTCCCACTAATTTGATTACATTTCTTGCAATCTGGTTTTGCTTATTTGGTGACATGTTTTGGTATCTTTCAAGTATATTTTACTGAGGGCGATAGAACTATTCACTGGCTAACTCACATAACATAGTATAAGAGAGATGGGCTTTAGAAGTTTTAAATATTGGATTGTTGGAAAATTCATGACGTGTTTTTCTATGCAAAAATGTGTCATGATGTATACATATATATATATATTTTTTTTTTTTTTGAGAGGTTTTTGCTATAGGACACATGCGCTTGCCAGGAAGACAGAGAGAGACAGAGAGACAGAAAGCGAGAAATCACCCCTCAGGGGGGATGGCCACACCGTAATCCCTTCTCCTCCATTCTCCTCTCAGGATCTTGGGCACACATGCACATGCACCTGATACGAGTTTAAGCCACCGGGTCTGGGACTTGAACCATGGTTGACTACATGGGAGTCAGCGACATAGCCATTATGCTAACCATCACGCTAACTGCTGGTCCCGCATCATGACTTTTCTGGCAGGCCATTATTTATATTTTTGTTTATGTTTAGGTCTATGGAGGATCAGAGAAAGAAAAAGGACCACAGAGAGATACAGAACATATCTATGACCCAACTGGTACTAGGCCTTTGGGTCCCTGCTGCTAAATGGCTTCCCTCTTTCTCTTTTTCACTGACACTTTCAAAGGATGCTCATGGATTTAGGCCTAGAAAGGACTTTAGAGATAATCCAATCTCACACTTTCCTTTTCTATACAAGGGGGCAAAGCCCAGGGAAGTGAAAGAGATTTGACCAAATTCATGCTGTTGGTTAGTGATATTTACACCAGAACACTGATTCCCAGTTCAGGAATCTTTCTATGGCAGTGTATCAATCTTTCATTTTTTTTTTAAAGAATTATGTATTTAATTAATTAATTAATTAATTATTATTCAATTTTACCAGAGAGAGAGAGTGAGAGTGAGAAAGTAAACTACCAGGTTTAGGTCTCAGACCACGGTCAGCCATGTGGGAGTTCAGCACTTTAACCACCATGCCACCTGCTGGCCCCATGCACTGTATCAATCTTAATCTAGAGAGAAATGATCATGGGAAGGGCAGTGCTTGCTTATAGTTTGGGTACCGTTAATATTTATTAGATGTATTGTCCTACCAGGACGGATGATAATGATTTTCTTATAAGCATGTCAAAGTCACATTCTTAATCAACTGCAGTTGGTAGTGAACCGTGCACTTAGTGAGCAGAAAGGTATTCAGAGGTCTGTGGCCCTGACAAGCAGCAGATGGTCAACATGGTGTGAGTGTGTGTCTGAGGGGAAGCAGGGGTGTGGTGGGGGGAGATTTCCCAAGCTTCTGTTGCCCTTTTTACATTTATCTAGATATTTCTGACAGTTATCTTTGGATTGGAGTTTTACTTTCATAAACCTACTTTGTAAGTTGGTCTGAGTACGTCCTTTCTGTTGAAATTGCTCTCAAGGCTCTATTTCTCTAAGCTAATCCCACCAACATTTATTTAGTTGTCTGTCGACCAGGTGTCCAGCACTTTGTGAAGTCTTGGGAAGTAGACTTTTCAGAGCTGGGACCTACACATGGTCAAGTCCCATTTCTGTTCCAGACTTGTAGAAATGATTGGAAATGTCTTTCTATAGCTCCCTACCTTATTTTCCTGTTTAAAATATATGTGCCATAGATCTGGTCTTCTTCTTTCATCTTTGGAAAATGATGGAAATGAGCAGTTGAATGTTCATAAAGTATACCACCTTTTCTGGAGAAAGATGCTATATATATTCAGTTTATAATAATCTAGGCAGCTACTTGTGCTCGACTCTATACATTTTCCTTCTCCCTCTTTCTTCAAATATTTATTGAGACACAAAGATCTAAAATATACAACCATAAAATCATTGAACATCAAGCTGGAAGTGATGTTAAAATCTAGCCATCCATGGTTCAGATTTCAGGTTATGAATATGGCTCTTGAGAAAGTTGTCATTTACTGAGAATTAGTCCACTTGTAAGTCAAAGAGAGAGAATTTTTTTAAAAAAATAATTACTTATTTAATTTTATTTATTCATTTATTTTTGACCAGAGAGACACACAGAGAGAGAGGGAGAAAGTGAGAAAGCAAGCCGCCAGGGCCGAGACTTGAACCATGGTCGGCCGTGTGAGAGTGTCCAGGTCTTAACCACCATGCTGCCTGCTGGTTCCCCAAAGAGAGAGAACTTGACTGAGTATATTTCAGTTCTAGGTTCGGTGTATTTTACTTGTTTTGTTTTGCATTAAACATGGTCACAAATTCTGCCCCCAAGCAGCTGATGGTTGGGAGGCTACTTGTGCACAGTCCCTCTTGTGAATGTGCTTCTGTGGTTGCTTACTGTGTTTTCATGATTTAACAAATTTCTTTTCCTCTTTTGGTTCTTCCAAATCTACAGTCGATGTTGCGAAAAGAAAAGCTGTGGAAACCGAAATGAGACGCCTTCGGACCCTGTCATCATTGACAGGTAGGGGAAAACAGTGATTTTGAGATTGTTTTTGGTGTCTTCGTGCCTCTCAGCTCCAAGTATTGATCACTTGGGCCTTGGCTCTAAGGTGGGTTGCCTCATATCTTCAAGAAATTAAACTGAATAGTTCAACAAGGGTTTCCTCTGGCTGGCCTTTCTTGGAAGAAGTCAGGAGCTTCTTTTTGGAACCTATGTCTCTAAATCTATGACAGATTCTTTTCCAGGTGCACTAACTTCAGCCTAATAAAGAGTGTGGATGGTAAAGGATGTCATCTCTCCTCTCTGGCAGGTTATGGTCTCAATCAGTTTTCTGGAAGAGGGAGTGTTAAGGGGGTAATTCTCTTTATCATTCTCAGTGATTGCTGCTGGCCTTGAAGCCTTTCAATTTAGATTATGGTTTAGGAGCTTATGACAAGCTCTCTATTACATTGAGGGAGATTCCTTTCTCGCCACAGAGGATTGCATTCTGGGTTCTATGTTATATTCAGAGTGGGAAAGATTCTTTGGGACAAGATGCTAATTCACTGAAGTGTGATTTAGGCATTCTCCACTGTCTGTTTTTGTGATTGGAAACAGAACTTACAAACCAATGAAGAAATACCAAATTAACTTCCAGCAATCATGTAATTTTTAAGAAACCCCATATTCCCACCCCTAATTTTTTCTCTTTCGTTAAAAAACGCAGTAATTCCCTATTGCTTCTTTCTTTGGGTTTTTGTGTTTCTAGCCAGGTCTTGAAATGGATTGGAGAGACCACAGTCTCCAAAGTTGTTATTCCAATATTCCAATGAATTCTCAGTTGGGAGAATGGAACCTCTGGCATTCTTCCCAGAAAGCCAGCTTGGTTTCTTCGTGGAAAGTATAGCTTAGATAGAGGAATTGTGGAGGCTAGAATTCTGATCCTACCCTAGCTCCTGACCTTGGACAAAGCACTCTGCCTGTCTGCTCTTCAGTAGTGTAATAATGAGTTGAGGGGCGCTGACAGCTGCTCCAAGTTTCAGGAGGCTACTAAGTATCCATAGAAACTTCACGATGTTCTCTAAGGTGTTTGGGAGAGGATGATAGGTGGGTCTAAACTGTTCTTTGGATGTGTATAGTGCCTCTGCCACTTTAGGGGGTACGGATGAACTTCATTTTAAGGAGTGCTTTGGGTTTTCCCTGTTTTTTTGTTTGTTTGTTTTTGTTTTATTTTATTTTATTTTTCATGAAAGCACAGAGCTCAAACCTACAGAGTTGCAAGGACATTGTGGGATCAGTCATCTTCATCCTTTTACAGATGAAAATACTGAATCCTGGTGCGGGGACGTGACTTGCCCACAGCTGCACAGCGGGTTGGGGCAGTGGGCCCTAGAACACACTTGTCCTCACTTTTAAACCCGTGTTCCTCTCATGGCCACAACCTCGTTCTCCCTGCACTCTGTTCCAGTTGATGAGGTGGGCCAGCTGATCGCATGTGGCATCATCTCCCTACTTGTCAGGATGCCCTTGGGATCCTCTGGGAAAGGAGAAGCCAATGAGAGCAGCCTACACCCACATCCTGTCCTTTCCAGCATGTAGGCTGAGTTCACCAACCTTCATGCCGCCTTTTTCACTAGCTTGAGCTGCTCTTTCAATAAGGTACTCTAACCTCATAACTGTTACATCTTTTCTTGTAATAAACACCCCATAAACCAGCGTTAGCAATGTTTGCAAACCCGTAAATGCTAACCTGCACTTAGCGGCTCTTCTTACTTTCAAGAACTACATAGCATCTGCATTCAAGGATAAAGCTGAATATGTTTGTGTTTTCTTCCGAGGTAATACACATGACAAAAGAGAGTAGGGCTTTTTTTTTTTTTTTTTTTTTCTTGCATCTAGGGGTAAAAAAGATTTTCATACTAGGTACCTTCATAGTTTGTGCTAGAGTGCTTTAAATTCTTCGGCGAAGGTGGAAATGATATCTTGGCCTCGTATTATGGAGTTTTATGTGACTGTGGCATTTATTTTTACTATCTGGTGCACAATAAAACAGGCCCGTGATGTCTCTGCCTCACTTTAAACGTGCGTTACTTCCGAAATGCTGCCCGTCTCCACATGGAAACGTACACACCAAAGGGTACTGTAAATTGACCAGTATCAGGTTTTAAGAGGACCCTTTTATTATAAACAGATGCATTTGTTCAGCTTACTTTTGTTTGAAGATATTATTCCCTCACGGTAACCTTGTCTTACTGCTCCCAAATGCCATTTGGG